GGAACTTTCCAATCTCATAAAAATGGGAAATGTTTCTCACAACATTCGACAAAATGATTTTCTCTGCCACCTCCAACAACATCAACAACGCCAACCTCAACGAAAGAGTAAAACACGTATATTTTCTTTTTATTCATGCACGAGAGAAAGACGGAACACGATTGCTGGATAAGTTTTGTTTATAAAATTTTGTTCGCCCATTTGAACATTGTAAAGCTGGAAGTTTTGTAGCGAACTTAAGACACGCTTTATAGAAAATACGTGCGAATGAAATTTCGGCTCGATCGGTTAGCTTTGGGCGGTCCGTATCATTTTCGTGTCTCTTCTTATTTTTTCGCTTCGATTTCATTGTATTTGATGGAATTGTGTCTATTTTGTCGATTTTTGTCACGTTTCCACCATTTTTTATTCGTCACTATGTGCAAATACGTTTACAGCGACACAATACACCGAATCGATGCGGACGATTGTCATGCATTAAACAAATTAGTCGGTGGTTTCGTTTTTTCCTCTTTAAAAAAAATGTGAATAATACAAATTCCCAATCGTCGAATCTTTTCAAGCCCATTTTTTTCTTCGTCTCACTCCCTCTTACAAACGCATAACAATTTTGAGCCGTTATCGTTGATAAGCCTTGAGAATTGCAAACACTTTGTCGAAGGTCAAATTGTCGATATATGCCATTTATTCAAATATTTACGGCTATATTGATATGCATACGAATGGAATGGATGTATGTTAGTATGCAATAGCATTACATCAACATCATTCATTGAATTCCAATGAAAATACATTGCAAATTCCATTTGTTCAAAAAAAGTCGTTCATACAATTTGGAAAAACGCATTGTTTTTTTCCCTCAATTTCTACCTCAATTTCCACATTGAAATACCTCTAATTTTGTTCCATTTCAAATTGGGCATTGCATCATATGGCATGACAATTTGCGGCATTTGTAAATGGTACAAATAATTTATCAAATAAAGTTCTATTTAACCGTATAATATTTCTTGATTCGTAAACGGAATTTTGTCGTTCGCGAGCAAAGTACATAATCAAAAGCAGTGTCTGCGAGACGGGGAAAAAGAGAAAGAACCAGAGACAGAGAGATGAAGAATGAATATGTACTCGGCAAATGTTCCGAATGTAATTTAAATGGCGTTTATGTTGCACATACAATTTTTCATGGTTGAAAATGAAACGAATGAATGAAATAGCAAATGTTAAAGTTTTCATCCGGCCAGAAAATGAATAGTAATACATTTTTTGGTGACATTTGTTGAGTTCACATTTTTAAATATGATGTAGGAAATCCATCTTTTTTCGGTCATGTTTTTTTCGGTGCTGTTCTTTTGGTGAGGAAACGGCACACTATTGCGCTCACTTCAATGTAAACACAAAAAAGCCCTTGAAATGAAAATATTATGGTGATAAGAATAGAATTGTGTGTCCGACCGAAATTCACTTGTTTCGTTTTCGATTGTTTGCGATAAAATCACGGTATACAATGGATGTGTAGAGAAGTGACTTGAACTCACTTACCAAAAAGGGTTTTAAGTTTGATCGATGACAAACGAATAATCAATATATGGTCGAAAATGTCGTATCCGGCTCTCAATTGGTTTGCCAATACGAATGGAGAATGTGAATACAATTTAAATAAAGACCCAGAAAATCATATTTTGTCGAACGATTTCGTTGATACGGAATGACAGTTTTTCAAATGCCGTCATGTTGAGACGGCTAATTACATTCACAGACAACACCAAATCAGCAACTAGCTTATCTTGATGACGGTACGCTTGTCTCTGTTTCGGTTTTCGAATGTAAAACAAGTCATAACATCGCAGCACTTTGACATCGCAGCAAACACATTAAGAATATCCACATTTCATTTGCATACAGACAACATTTAACGTTTTCATTAACTAAAAGTTATTTGCAATTCTTTTGTTTTGATACAAATAATAAAAGACCAATTTGTATTCGCCTAAGCTTTTATTATTGGGAATTCGTTCAAAATGTAGAAAAGAATGGAAGAAAAATCCAATAGTTCCGAGAACAGCAATTGACATTAGAACGAGAAACGTTTTTCTCACTATCGCTCTCTCTCTCTCTCTCCATCATTTTCTTGCTCTCACTTTTTTTCCCAATGGCACATTTTGTCATTTATAGATTAGAGTGATCGATAAAATGATGTATAAATGGTTTTCAACGCTTCAAAGTTTCAGTTGCTGATAGAAAATTTCATTTCTTTTATGTTCAATCTGCAAACCAAATCGATAGTTCTACAACAAATCTCATTTATAGAGAAAAATGAAAGATAGAAAATTTTCGATTGCGTTTATTGGGCGAAGAGAAAGCGATTGGGCTCGAACAAATTAACAAATAAACATAAAAACCACAATCAACAATGATATATTATAATGTAATGATTTTTCTGTTTGACCATCGATTTCGTGTCGAAGCAAACATGAATATTTATGCGAAACCATTATTTTATTGAAACTAATTTCATGGCGGGTGATACGGTATTTTTTTTTTCGTTTTAGTAAATTAATTTTTAAATTAAACGATATTTTTATGACCAACGCTTGGTTTTATTTAATAAATAAAAATGAATGACTCCACAAAAAAACATTTACCCCGAAAAATAAAAATACTGTAGAAACAGAAATGTGTTATTTTCAAACTAAGAACCAGTGAAACGGTTAAATTTTTCTGTTTTTTTTTTTTAAGAGATGCTTGAGAATTAAACCGAAATTATTCCAAAGAAAAAATAAATTCTTTGAAAAAAACGAGAGAGAAGAAAGCACCGAAAACCGTTCATGGCAAAACACATGTTTTTGTTCCTTATAACACAAAGCTCGGGGCAAAAATCAATAATAGTTCTTTAATAAAATGGAATTTTGTGAAAATTGTTCCGCCTATAAATTACTACGGAACAATTGCTTTTGTCGTACCCACTTTCGAATCTGAAGTATCTACAGTCAGCAGTAAAAATCTTCGGTTTAATTTAAAACGACATTGAAGTGAAGTGACTGAGGATGAAAAAAAATATTTGTTCGCTGCGAAGAGTGTCGCTGAGATCACATTTCTGATATTTGCATAAAATTAATACGACACATTTATAAATTGAATGTGTGTTTAGCATATGATGAAACTATACGATTTGTCAAAACAACGCAAACGAGAAGAAAATTAACTTCAGTGGCGCGAGGAATAATAAAGTGTTGAAAACGATGTCACTTTTTCTTCTTCTTCTTCTTCTTCTTGAATTGTGTGTGTCGGTGGTTGTGCGGAGCCATGCGGAAAATGAATTTTTGGAGAAGCGTTGAAAAACGTGTGTATGTAATTTGGTGTATGTGTATGAGTCGCATTTGATTTGGGCGTCATCGCTTTCTAACATTCCAAATTTAATCATAACATTTGCACAAATAATGTTATAAAGTTTTAGAAGTTCGCAACACATGCCCGTAATATAAAAATATTCATGAAATTGACGAGATGTGGCGCACTTGATGTGGCGCGGCCACCCATATATATAGGCCTCTTAAAATTTCATCATCAGATATGATGAAAGCGGGACGGAATGCAATGATTGAAAGCACTAACTCAGACAAATGACAAATGTTACATGGATGGCAATGGAATAGGGACGATATGAAAGAATGATTGAGTGTGAGTGGCATTGAAATAGAAAAGCAGTTATCATTATCAACTATTATTGCGATTTAAATGGAAAAAAATGAAGTCGAGCTATGTCATACCCCCCGCCCTTTTTTTAGCTTTTTTCTCACTCTTTGTTTCATTCCATTCTCTTTGTCATTCCATTCTTTTTATATCCGAAAACACATCCATATTTCAAGTCGACGATTTTTTTTTATGGAACTCAAATCGTTAATAAACGTTTTATACGATTTCATTAAGAGAAATGAAGACTGCACGACGCCTTTGTGCTGAAGCGACGATGCATTGGCAGAAGAAGAAAAAATAAAATGATGTAATTGTGTGCCAAATATATATAAATTCGATTCGATGTAACGATTTACATGCACAACCATTCCATCCGTCTGACTTGATCCGTCCGTTTTCATTTAGCGTATATTGACGATTGTTCCGTCTCTGTCCCTGCCGTTTTTTTTTTCGTTGGAATAACATAATATTGAATTCAAGTTGACAGTGTCACATCGATGTAGCACCGTAATTCGTTTAGACGGAACAAATGCATCAAAGATTCGATACGTGTTCAGCCGAATTCATTTCGTGCAAACCAGAAAAAGAAGTCAATATCATTATAAGTTATTAAATAAATATTTTCTCTGCCTCTGCAGAGGCTGACACTGTGTTTTTCTTCACAAAATTCGTCAAGGTTTCTTCGAGAATGCTTTACGCGAAAATATTACGAAATATCTTCTTTTGCATTTTAAAAGGTGAATCATCGCATCATATTTTTCCACATCACAAATAAACACACACACATCAAACCGATCAAATGCTACACTCAGTGCAGTACACTGACATATGAGCTTTTCGATTGAATTTTGCTCATTTTTCGCCATCATCACTTCCAAGTAATTATCGATGGTATTGTGGTCGATGTTTTGACGCCGTTGCCATTGTCATTCGAAATTAGCGAAGTGCAAGGGTTGAAAAATGATTATATCTATAATGATTCAAAAATCAAATCCCATTTGATCAATTTTGCCGGCGTTCAATTTGTGACAAATTCAACTGAAAACTAAAAAAAAAGTAAAAAAAGCTTTCAAAAGATGCTCCATTTCTATAGGTTTTCCTTAAATTTAATTTTCGACATGAGAATGACCTTTGTTTTTTTTCTTTTGATAAAAGAAACGTGTTTTTAAAAGTAACGAAACAAGTATACATTGTTAATCGTAACCTAGGTCATTTCCGAGGTTTTATGTACCTCCAACGTTATGTAACATTACTTTTGAAGATGAAAGATATAATAGGCATGGCACTATTACGTTCAATATTACCTGCTGATTTGCTGGGCGATGGTTTGCTGTCACCACCGCCGCCGCCACCAGCAGCAGTTGGCGCTTTTTCGTTGTTCGCCATTTGCCTTCGTATTTCGTTTATTCTAAATCACACACAGCTAAACACACACACGCACACACAAAATGAGAATGTCTATTGACAACACCAAATATATATATATATATGTAAAACCCGTATGTTGACAAAAGTCGAACAGATGAGAATACTGTTTTTTGTGTGTGTTGTATTTATTTTCGTCGTTTCTACTTATTTTCTTTGCGTTTGAGGAGGTATGCGTTTTCTTCTTCTTTTGTTGTTATCAAATACAAATTTTGTTGTTGTTTTCGTTGAATGAGCGCCGGGAGGATGGTTTTGTGTGTGAACTGCTGTGTGTGTTTTTGTTTACTTGGCTCTCAGTTTTTCTCGCGTTTGCATTGATACCACAATGACAATTGTATTAAACACACATAACACAAAACTCGTTACAAACTCCGTTCTTTATTTTCATATAATATCTGTTTTTTTACTCTTTCGTCAACTTCGCTTTTTACTTATTTCGGTTAGTAGACTGCCTGTGACAAGCAAATAATTGAATGAGATTTTTTTTTGTCTAACCACTTGTTTTTTTTTTATCGTCGTACATTCCTTTTTTGCAATCGATTTCGACCAGAGTGAAAAATCAACAGGCAAATTCAGAACGTACAATGTGCTTTCATATTTTTTTTCGCTAGCCAAAAATAATAATAATGGGTCGACGAGTTTTTTTTTGTCAAATTCGAATCGATGCCAAAACATTTTATATGTATATAAATATTTGCGATGGTGTACATTAAAATCGATGGAATAATATCAGAGGTTGTCATAAACACTAAGAGTGTGACCTTTGGTGATAAACTTAAAGCTTTACTGTTTGTAATGAGATTGCCCTCGACTGTATGCATTTTTTTTAGCAAGACAACGAGAACTCTCTCTCTCTCTTTCGAAAATTGTCATTTTTCAAATTTAAAGAGACGATTTGAAGCAGAATAAATCCAAATGATCCAGTTTAAAGCTCGTCGCTTACTCATCACAGAATAAGCTCGGAACATGAATCCAATATGTTCGCCGAGCTCTGGATGCCAATCCTTCCTGTTTGTTTATTTGGTTAGATATCATGTCAAGCTGATGATATTAAAACGATTATAATGAAGACGAAAAAAAATCTTCAAAATAAGGTTTGACCGAGCTTTTTTTCTTCGCGTCGAAGCTTCTGTCGTCTAAAAAACTATAAATGCTAACATCTTGTCCTTTCTCTCTCTCTCTCTCTTTCTCTCTCTCTCTGTTCTTGAGGATAATCGAAAATTGTGTATTTGTATGTTCGCTATAATATGCAAATGAAGCAAAAATTGTGATTGTTTTTGCTTATGATTTTATTCGCATTTCAATATATTTGTATAAATAAATTTTCTATGAAAAGCTTAACGAATAATCGTTTCGTTTAATCTGACAACCGCTGACAAAGCTGCTAAACGCAGATTACTTTAAATACCAAAGATCTAAACGGTTTCGTTCCCTCCCATCATTTTGCCATCAACGTAAATTGTCTTGGAAAATATGAGTAAAACAATACAAACTGCCACCTCCACGGACTGTTTTGAAATTAAACAAAGCAAAGAGCGAATCAAGAAAAATGAGAAGTAACGAAAGAAAAAAACAGAAATGGTGTGTTCTTTTTTATTTCACTTCACAACCCACTGATGCGCTTATAAATATTGTCCATAATTTCATTTTTGCTACGCGTTTATGTGCCGAAAAGAAAATGTTCGCAACGCTTCATTTGGAAATAGTCAGCTTAGAAACATGAATAATGCGATGCATCACGATTTCTTTTTTCTGTCCGCGTTGTCTACTGATCTTCAATCAAATTCGCGTTGAAAAGAACAAAAATCGAGAGGCAGGAGAGAAAAAAAGAACCACGCTCAAACAGTGAGAATGAATGGGTATACAAAAATTCTTTTCTTCGTTAGACTCGCATTCTTTGGCTGAGTAGTTTTCATACGAAAATGAATAATTAAGGTCAGGTATGCTCGCGATGCGAAGTAAACGAATGAGATGAAGGAATAAACTGAAAAAAAGGTTAAGCGGCTTTTGACAATGTACATGAAAACACATTGGTTGCCTGAAAAGGAGAAGAAGACGACGACGAAGGACGATCATGAAGAAAATTATATTCACAAAACGGCTTTTATTCAATGCATAATTGCCCAGAAATATTTCTCTCTTTCTTCGTCATTTTTTAAAGCATTAAAGTCATCACGGTTAAAATGCCATCCCCTCTCTATGTCTCTCTGGTTTTTACGAGTGTGTATCAGAGTTGAGATGAAAAATGATGGCCAGCAAAAGTACAATCAGGCACGCTTGGCACAAACGATCATTCGTGTTTCTCTCTCTCTCTCTTTCTCTCATTCTTTCATTTTCACTCTCAAGCTTGCTTATTTCTATTCTCATCGATGTGTATAAGAAAGTTCTCAATATCTGCATATTAGATTCAGTACCAATTACACGAGACTTATGTATTATGCAATGCCAATGAATAAACTACATGCCATGTACACAATTCACACTTTTCCGCTCTTCCGACATTATTTACACGGATCTATTGCTTACATTTTATTTCAAAAGTGAACGAAAATTGAGAGAGAATGGGTTGAAGAAAAAGAAAAAAAAATTCCGTTGCACTTTCTCATCTCGTGGCAAAGAGCGATTCGATTTTCCTCTGCATTGGCTCAATAAATTTCGAACGGCAAAATTGATACGATGTGAAACAAAATACCATTGATCCCATTTCTTAAGTGATTGAAAATTCATTTTCTATTCTTTCGCTCCCGGTACCATTTTGTGTAGCAATTTTTGTTGTTGTTTTGCCAGTGACAGAGAATGTTGTTAACAAATCGTGATGTTCATTACTTTCATAAATAAAATCGTTCTCGTCTCGGTACCAGCGATTCGATCAACATTTTACGAACGATTTTTTTTTTTGGTGCACAACGAATTTTCTCAGCTCACGGCTTATTTCGTTTTTTTTTTTGTTTTCTTCAAATTTAATGTATAATTCGAATGAGTGAATAAGTAATGCGTTTTGTGTATGGTAAACTAATGCTTTAGTCATGGGTCATATAAATAATTCAATGATAATCCGTTGCTTGATAATGAGAAATGGAAAGATTGTATTTTAAATCGATTGTATGTTAAATGATTTGAACTACACATAACTGATGAACAAACAATAATACTGTGAATCAAACAACAACAACGGGATTAAGAGATTTGGAGAGAGAAAGACAAAGGATCAGGACACACAGAAACGATTCGAGTGCAACCAAATTAAATATTGGACGCTAGCCAATATAGCAGAGAGGGTGCGGCATCAAGCTACTCATTTGCAATGTGTATTTTTTTTGTTCTTTCTTTGCTCTCGAGTACACACTCCAAAAAAAAACTCTCTCGCTCTCTCGTTTTCAATACAATACACGAGGATTGAAGGCCCAATCAAAATGTGAGCTTTGTCTGCATTGTCGTATGGTATTTTCTTTTTGTTGGTGCTTTTATTTCCTATATACACAAATACAATACAAAACAATAGGTCGCAATTCACGTGGAATCTATACCATATTGATGACATTCATTCTTGTTCGAGTGAACTGGAGTTTACTGCATTTTTCTTACGTAGCATAAGTATAACACAGAGATGCGCGCGCGCCCAACCGAGGATTGCGTTGACATATTTATATGTAAACGTCACTGGCATCTAAAGCGATAACGCCATCTTTGGTTACACAGCAGTAGCTATTTCTGAGACAACATTTTCACTTTAATTTAAAATAAAATAAAAGAATTCAATTTTAATCCCACATTTTTTGAAAAAAATCCTCATTTAAATCATTGAAACCATATTTAAAATCATTTGTTGATACAAAATTCATTTTATTATAAATTGCCATCGATTTGAAGGAGCGAAATTGACAGTAAAGTACACTGTAGAGATTAAAGAAACAATACATACACAAGCATCACATGTACGCTTAAAGTGGTCATCACAGAAACGAAGCTGAGCATGTGCACATGTATTAGTATTTTCATACACAGCATGTTTCGTTCTTCTGTTATAAAGTGTGATGTTTGTCTGTATATATTGTTTCTATATGTTTACTCCATGAAATCGACGAATTAAAAAAATGAATTCAAAAAAATTGTTTCAAGTTTTGTTTTAATATTTTACCTGAGGATTTTTCAAATAGTCGGGATTAGACTTGAACCCTTTTTGAATGTATATTAAACTATTTAATTTGAACCAATCAATATTGGTTGGTTAAAAAATTCGCAACAGATGGGGAGATGGCGTTGTCGTAGATTTGGGAACGGACAATGCAATAGTCATCATATTACCGGGTTTTGCGCGCCTTCGCTCAAATAACGAATTTCAAAATTCCAAATTAGACACTGAATTTATGTTGTTAACATGTTTATTTACCAATAATATTTGCTATAAAAAAATGGTATACGAGGAAGAGAAGTAATGTTAATCAAAAAAAATGTGTTTGCTTGAAAAAAATGGTGCATAAAAGGGCGATTTCAAAACATGTTTACAACTTTTATCGCACGATTTGTATAGTATATATGTGTGTGTTGCGCTTGAATTGATCAATTCAGATGAATTTCCATTGTTAAACCAGTTACCATAACAATAGATAGAAACTGGCACTTTTGAGCGCCGTACAACGGAAGAGATCTAGTGACAATTAGAACAACAAACACTTCTCATTGGCGGCAGTATATGTGTTACAATTCCGTGTGTGCGACGCGCACGACCCAAATGCAATTCAACATTCAATTTTATTACACCCATTCGTTGACATATTTCACGATTTTTATTATAAATACATATATAGTTTCAAATTACCGCGAAACCATTAGCCATTCTTATCATTGTGAATAGAAAACTTCAGTGCCAAACATCGGTTGAACACATTCTCTCTCTTTCTCTCTCTCTCTCTCTCCCTTCACTTTCTTCACAGTATTATTTTCGTGACAATTATCATTTCTAGGCCAATTCTTGCCACACCATTACCGTTCGTTTCATAATTGAAATTTGCCAAATATGTGGCATTTACTTATTCGATTTTGCAATCAAAAGCGAGTCACTCGATCTATTTGGAGTTCAAAAATTCAGAATTGTGAAATTAAGAAGAAAGCAATCGAAATGATTGTAAATTTTTCAACGATGATATTTAATTGAATTCAATGAAATGGGAAATTAAATGGGATTTCGTTAATCTCTTAATTAGATAGGAGCAATAAAGATCCATTTCACACACTTCACACGCTAGCAATCGTTCCACATTCCATTTGATATTATTGGTGCTGACGACGACAACGACCATCACAGTGACGACGATGATGATGATGTTGATGATAGCACATTTGCCGAGAGACTCGTTTAAATTGAGAGGGAGTGACAAATGTTTAGCGGTTGCTATTTTCTTACACATTACACACTACGGAAAAATCACACTGGCACACACAACACCGAATCTATGTATCCCGTTGTGTGTTTGTCCATCCGTGCGAGCCTTCGGCTCGTAAATGATTTTCATTTTCATCAACTTGAAAAGATGATAATCAAATGTTTCGTTTGGAAAAAGAACAAATAGAAAAGGCAACGCTTTGTTTTTTTCTTTCAAAGATTTCATGATGTAACAAAGAAGGAGTTGTAAACACACACACAAAGATGTAGCTAAAAAAGAACACTATCGCTTTGTTTTGGCACCGACTTCGATTTCTCAATTTTGTTGACTTTTTTCGTTGCGCGCTTTTTTTTCGATATTGTTGTCGCGTTTACACCAAAAAAATGTTGTTCAACATTAAATAGAAAATTATTGAAATTCGAGGAAAAGAACAAGAAAAAAACCCAAGATTTATTCGAAACGAAAAAAAAAAAAAAATAGAAATTAGAAGTGACAGTAAACATTATAGCTATTTGTATGAATCGTATTGAATTCATCTTTCTGGTCGAAATATTGCCGCCAACGTTGATTTTCTCGTTTATTATTTTATTCTATTTAACGTGCAAAATCTAATCCACGATGAAAAAACACACAAATTTATTTATATTTTTATTAATTATTATGAAACGAAACAAAATATAACAATGGTATATTTAACACACAGCGAGAAGAGCGAGTACAATAAAATTTCAACACATTCGTCGTTGACGTCAGAGGTCTACTGAAATGAAAGCTGTAATATTGAGATTTTCAAAGTCTCCGGATTTTTCTCTCTCTTTATGTATTATAATGTATCATAGGTTTTGGTACTGAGGTTGCTGCTGCTGCTGAAAGAAATTGAGCACGCGAGCATGAGTATGTCTAAATGTATGTGTGTCTTTCCTATCCGTAGAGGTGACTTTGTGTGTGTATGAGTTCACAACAAAATTCATCTTGAGCACGACCAAATATGAGCTCTTTTCATTTCCTCTCCCAAGTTAACATTTATTATCATCAAACTTATACACACACACACCCAATAAAATGTGCGAAGCATCCATATAAAATGTACGTAGAGAGCAAAGCATTCTCGGTCGATGTATTTGGCACACAGCATCCATGCGCTGCTTGGACTGTGTGTGTGTTGTGCACGTTTTGCTCTCTTTCATGGTTGACACGGGGTGCGCGTTTCGTGTGTATTTCGTCAAGTGGATGAAATGGTTTTTTGTATCTGAATAAAAATGGATGGAAGTATACGCGAGCGCGCGTATGTGTGTGTGTGTTTGTGTGCTTGTTGTGCAGGAGATGAGCTATGTGCAAAATTTCAGGAGAGAGAAAGCGATTATATGGACATATAGTACAAGCTCTCGTTGGTGCCACACATAGCGAGAGTAGTTGGAGAATGAGCTTTTCAGCATGACACGCGTGTGTAACGTAGAATTCATAAACAAAGCAAGATTATACAAAGCAATTCCCTTGCATAAATTTTCCCAAGACATATATATATATATGGTATATATGGTATGGTACACATAGAACCTATATGATAGTATGAAGTTGCATTTTGCTTTGACATGAAAATTTGCAAATATTTGACCTAATGACTTTTATCGCTGGTTGTTGATGAAAAACATTTTAACGACCATCGTTTTCGATATTTCAATTTAAAAAATATTTTTTATGAGTAAATTTCAAAATGAGTTGGCGCGCAACTAAAAATTTTCAAAAAAAAAATTTGTAAACGCAAAGTATATGGAACAAAAACGAAATTTTTATGGTATATTAGGAACAATTTGGCATATATGTGTAAGCCAATGTAAGTACTCCGTGTCAATTTTGTTACTGTTGTCCACAATGTATATAACATATCCATTGAATATAATCTCAAGTAAGCATATGCAATCAGCTGCTCCCATTTTTCGTTTCGCTCTGTTTTTTATCGCTTATTTTACGCGCGCGCTCTCTCTCTCTCTCTCTGTATTTTATTTGTATGTGTGTTTTTACGGTATTCACTCTCTTACATCTGGTTTTACAAGAGTAAAACAAATCGCATCGAAACAAAAATATTGCACGCATTGCAAGCCCAGGCGAATCCAATTTCCGCCCAAAAACTTTCACTCTCTTTTACTTCGATTTTCAAGTGTTTGAGTTACATTTACATCGTTTTGTGCCGTTCTTGGTCTCTCTCACTATTCCATATTACATACACACACATACCAATACATAATCATGCACATACACATTCACGAAAACTCCCATTTTTTTTTTTTTGCTTGCTCCCTTTCAATCGAGTGCGCCAATTTTACATCTTATTACAGGCCTCCAAGTTTTCGACTCTTTTTTAGCTCAAACAACGAACACGAATGGTGTGATGCGCTTTATTTCCATATATGTATTTGTGTTAAGTATTGAAATTGTAAGAATTGTGTTTGTACACTATTCAAACACTCCCGAAATGTTAGCGGGTTTTGTTGATAATATATTCGTTTGACAAAGAGTCTCTCACTCTTACCGCACTATCTCACGCGTGCTCTTTGCACACAATGGATTTCGAATGGATCAGTATGCAATCATCAACAGAGAGTGAATGATATATGGTGCCGTGATATATGGAGCATACTTTACACGCTGATGTAAAAGAGGTAGACGAAAGCGCCCGAGAGAAGCACACATGCTTTTTTCTCTTTGCTCGAAAGATGATGAAATTCTAGAGTGGAATTCAATTCATAAAAAAACCTGATAGTATTTAACCTTTATTATTGAAACGATGACAAAATATTTACAGAAGCAGAAACGCCCGAAAAGATTTACTCTTTTGTTGTTGTTGTTGATGTTGAAATCGTTTATTTGGAAGAATGCGAAAAATGTGTGTTTGCATATTCTCTGTTCGTTTTTTTCTCCATCATCATCATCTGGTCGCGCGCGCGGCAATAGGCATTACATTGACATTGCACATGCGTACACGAAATCAAAGTAAAAGCACACGCATCAAATGAATGTAAACTCATGAACGTGCCACAAGCAAAAGTTAGATGATGGGAGAGAAGAAAAAAAAAACACATTTCTATCTTCACTACACATTTTACATATTCACATAATCATGGGACCGACATACACAAATCCCATTGTATCATTTGCTTTACTTTTTCGCTTTTTTATCCTTCCCTGTCTCTTTCTATCTCTTCATCTCCATTGCTATTTATTACACATTCTCTTTCCTACCATTTCCATCACCTCACTCGCCACAAATGCCAGACATTGCAAACCAAAAATCAACTTTATCATAAAAAAAATTATTAAGTAATTAAAAAGGAGAAATGTTTTTCCCGCATTCAGTTTGCTTCTATCGTTGGTGCAAGAAGAAAAAAACGTGTTGAGCTTTTGTTTGAATTGTGCTGTGTAGAAACTTTTGCGTCATTGTGTATTTGCGACCCAGAATGCCTTTTTTCTACATTTAAAATTCAAATATTTTGCATAAATTAATCTTCATTTCGGAAAACGTTTACACACACATACGTGCGCCGAAATACACACTTCATTGAATTCATTGAATTCAGCTGGTTGGTGTTTGCTACTCATTCTTTTTATTAACGAATTACACTATAAACCGAAATGTGAACATTTTCCAAAGGAGAAACCAACTGCCTTCTGCACTTGAACATATTAAATTATTTTCGCAACCAATTTTCATTCCATTCATCTTTTGTCGGGGTTAATTCATTTCAGAAAATAGCAAAATGATTAAGATTTTAGTTTAACAGAAAGATATATAAGGTTCAACTGAAGGAAACGCCACTACCACCCACACAAGACAAATCAATGGAAAGATAATAGTAATCTCCATCTAAAGAGCCATGATTTCATTTCGAAAAATAGCTCGCGGATTTTTGTTCAAGTGAAACAGTATCAGCATATCATGCAAGAGAACAAAATCGGCGTTGAACGAATATATAAAAAATGATGAAGGATCCGAATTCGCTTTTCAGAAAAATTAGTCACAATAAAATGAAAAATATTTATAAAAAAAAAACGTTTTTCTTTGTTATCGAGTTAATTCTGTATGCTCATGTAAATTATTTTAAGCAAACAAACAAAATGAATGTAAGTTTGCATAAAATGAAATCATTCGTTACCGAAAAGAATGTAAAATGGACTTAGTAGGGTAAGGGAACTATCTCGCCAAAGAAAGCCAAAAAACACTCACACACACACACATACGTGTAACCATATCGGTTAAATAGCAACCAAAATTATTTAAACAATGTTGTGTATTTAACGTTGAAACTTTACAAAAGGCTCGATCTCTCCAATACAATATCAGTTTCAATGCAAATCGATGCTTTTCTTATGAACAAAAAAAACTTTTCCCCGTCATATAATATAAAAGACGTTTTTTTGCCATTTTTTTGTGCCGATTTGATCGCAAGCCGTTCCAACTCAATGTATAACAACATTGCTTTGAAAACTTTACTTCTTGCTCAGCACTCATTTTCACAATGAATGACATGCTTGTACATATTTTAGAGTTTTTACTGTCACGACCTACTTCAAGATTTCAATTTACGTTCGATAAATATATGCAAAAGAATGTCCAAAATTCGAATCAATTTCATTTATTTTATATAGAAAAAAACCGTAACATGCGTTTGACGAACTTCTTCTGTTGAGCAATATATACAAAAAAAAAAGAGATTCAACATTTAAATTAGATTTTTTTACAAGACCACGTTTTTTCTAGAGTGTCATAGTTCAATAGTTCTTACGTTACGCTCTAGTTACGCTTGACTTATGATAAGCAAACTTTTAATCGGATGGAAAAGAATGCGTAGCACAAATCTGAATGGAAAAATTATATCGTGAAACATTCAGTAGAAATTATTCGGTTTTTGCAACACTTATCATTCAGCCGATTATACAAAAATAGAAACAAATGCGTTTCGAAAGTGAAATTTGGAAATATTAGAATAATCTATTCATTATTTATTGGTCATTTGGTTGGGGTAGACAGATTTATGTTAGAGGTGGAAGATATTTAATTTGATCCTCCGAATTTCGTGGTGGTGGCTTTTCACCCTTAACATCTTTATATTTTATTTCTTCTTTAATGGTGGTAGATTTAGGCTTCTTTAATGGTGGTAGATTTAGGCCGATTGTTATACTATGCTTTTTTATTTGAGTGTTTTTATCTTCACCAGCTTCTACATTGGAAAGGCACTGATGTAGAGTGCAGTGAGGGAGGTAGTTTGGAAAGGATTAATGATTTGACCAAAATTATAATCGATTGTAAAAAAAATGTTACCTGACAAACAATGAGTCCGACTAAAAATAGTGCGAACAAGTTTTGATTCAACATGTTTAACTGCGAATTTGGAGAGACGATTTTCAGAAATGTTTGAATGTCTGCTACTGAAGTGTTTAATGATCAATTTTATCAATTCAACTCGTTTTATATTCATATTCCTGGAGTTAAATTTGTCTATCAAACTATTTTGTTTTCGAGAGTAAAAATTGTTTATTCAGCTGCGTACTGCATGAATGTTTTATTTTGGATATATTGACGCCTTGATATTATAATTTTATTTATGTGAGACCATTATTTTTTCGGTTGATTGACGTAAAATGTTCGGAATTGTGCCATTTCTTCTCAAAAATATTTTTTTTTTTTTTCACAAATGTTTTACGAGATATTTGTCTTGATAGACAGAATTTTCTTCTTCTCGCTGAAAAAAATACTTTTAGTTTCTACACAAAAAATATGCAATTTTTTCTACGTTTCAAATAATGAGGTGATAATGATGTAAATTGATCAAGGCTGGTAATTAAAACACGATCAAATTGTATGGAAACATTTTAACATTCATAAATATTATTTATTTCTTGAATAGTTCTCATTTTAGATACGAATAAATGTGAACGAAAGCGATGTTGTTATGAAAAACAAATAATTGAACCGTTGAGAAACATAGATACCTTCATTAAAGTGTATGGACATGTTGCAGTTTTATGGTTAACTTTACTGAAGGTATCTATGTTTCTCAACGGTTCAATTGTTCGATGAAATGTTCGACAAAATTATTTGGTTTCTGTTTAAAAAACTATTATAGCTAAAATGTTTTTCATCTGCATTCATTTTTTAGTAATCTGAATCTAGGCGATTTCCACGCAAACCAAACTGCTTATCGGACATATATGTAGTTTCGGCTGGCGGTTTGGTTTCTGGTTTAGATGCAAAAATATGATGCAATCATAATCGATTCAGAGTCATTTATTAATTTACCTGACAAACAATCAGCCCAACAAAAAATACCAAGAAAGCATTTCGATTCAACATGTTTAACTGCAAATTCAATTTAATTCAAGAAATTTCTTCTAATCGCGAAGCTGTTAAAAGAGCCTATTGATAATCGACACTAAATGGTCTCGGCTTATATAAATTTCATAAGAAACTAAAAAGTGTCACGTTTCATAATTACTAAGCACCAACGAATTAGTTTGATGCCGAAAAAATTCGGTTCATTAAAATAGACTTCTTATCAAAAAAAGACACGTGTAATCTTATCTAACTGATCAACTAGCAACAGAAGATATACATATTTGAACAATATTAAACTTTGGAAATTTTCAAAATGTGTGGAAATTTCGAACTAGTTGAGTGCAAATATCATTACAATTCATTGTTTGACTTTCAATGGAATCGCTGAGGTCAATTCTAAAAATATAGGTGTGCGTTTTTACTTTTAAAAAAAACGAATATCGTAGCTACAATATCGGGCTACATAAACGACGTTCGTTGACTCCTTTGAGGCACCCTCATTCTCTTAGTCGCTAACATCTTTGACTCTCGATTATTTGAATTTCTTGCCCAATAAACAATTCATTAGGCAAATATATTGATTTTATCGCACGACAAAATGTTACAATTTAAGAATTCAAATGAATTACGTGCTTTTTTCTTTCATTTGTTCGCGACATGCCATAGTCTCCGTCCGGTGAACTTATTTTATTAGAGCAAACGTACTACATCAAAAAAACACACACAAATCCATAACAACAAACAACATAATACAGAGATCGGAAGGGATAAAATCGGTGTACGGCTGCTGTTGCTGTTGCCATCCGTATTTAAGCGTTACGAATTATTGCTGAAACAACAAGGATTATAATCGAAAAGTAGCTTTGCTATTGTCAGTTGACCCAATTCGATTACTTTGTCGAGTACCTATCACAATTTTGTTGTTGTTGTTCTACACACGTATTTCGCAATGTGTTGAAAAACAATCAATGAGTGCATCGAACATTTTCATTCAAAATAATATGTTGAAATTTTGTCGATCACACATACAAACAATGTGACAAAGAGGGGAAGAAAAAAAACAGAAAAAAATTCAAAAGCGTAACAAACAAATATCAACGTGGATTTTTGTCACTGTACCTCTCTCAACGAGATGAGCGGAGAAAATAAAATCGGTTAAAAATGTAATTTTTTTTCCTTCATGGTTTCATTTGTCGATAATACCAACGACGACACACACCGAAGAGAAGAGCACAAATCGAGACGGTATACGAAAAAAAAAACGACAACAAATTCGTCCGTAATCAATTGTTTTGGGGTTTTGCCAGCACATGTTTGCCATTGTCAACAAATTTCGACTTTGCTCGAATCCATGTAAATAACATAATTTTTGCATTCACGGTGTGGCCATTGTTGTTGTTATTATTATATAAAGCTATATATATTTTTTTGTAGTATTCGGTCGATATGTGCTCTAAAAGCACACACGTTCGCCCAAGACGGTTAGCAACTTATTCTCAATTTCTCGTAAGCATTTTTTTATCCGTGTACAAAGCGCTACGATGACAAGCAATGTTGATAGTAGCGCCATGGTGCGGTTGCCAGCGAGACTAAAAAATAGCACAAATTTCGATCGCCTAAATCAAAAATGGTACGAATTTGTGCCACCCAACATAAACTGTGGCAACCGTAATGAAAATGCTGCGTTGCCCAGCTGTCATTGTCGTCGTGCTTTGTCCGTGTATAAATGCGTTAAAATTGCCGAAACACGAAAATAACCGCACACGGTATTCGGATTCAAATTTATGACATTTTTTTATTACTCTCTTGCTTTTGCTTGCTCTCTCTCTCTCTCTTGCCTGCTGTTGTTCGTTCAATTTTTCATTTATTTTTATTCTTTTTCGTATCGAGACTTCGTATGCGATGTGATTCGATTTAATTTTTCTCTTCTTTCTCTTTCTTTCTCTCTCTCTCTCTCTCTCTCTCTCTCTCTCGTTGTATGGATTTTCCTTTTTCATTGGAAGCAAACCACACATGAGAAAAAAAAACTCTTTTTCGATTCACAAGTCAATTTTCGGTTTCTTTTTACTTTGTTGTTCGGTTCTTTTATAAAATATATTCTAATGTATACCCGGGCATACAATGGTCGTTCTCAGTAGAAAGCGAATTTGCCAAACTGCCAATGTATATATTCTTCAATGTGAATAAAGCGAACAAGATAAAAAAATTGTTGAAGAAAAGAGATTGGTTGCCAAAGTACCAATGCATTTGCCAATCCATACGAAGAAAAAAAAACTCTTTTCAATTCGAGGCATTTTGCTTTGTGCACGCGCGCGAGCAACGAACCAACAACAACAACAACAAAAACTAGTGAGAAAAACATATTGCAAATGTTCGGCGCTCGACTTTCTTTCGATATGCTTTTCGTTTACATTCTATCACGAAAAAGTCGGGAAATGAATTGTCGAAGAAATTCAATTAATTCCGAAACGCATTTTTAGCTTTACACCCGTTTTTATTCCCATTTCCACTTTGTCTGTATTTATTTCTCCTTCTATTCATTGCCCGGCCTCTTTCAACGGAAATAATTAAAAAAAACACACGACAGAGACAGAGATTGGAATGAAAACGAGCGGCCATCTCATATATGATACTAAAAGCTGTTATGTGCAATTTGTTAACATATGTTCCGCAAAATTAGTTTTAAAATGCTTCGGTGTGTTTTTCTGCTGCTGCCGCTGCTCAGTTGCTGCTACGGTTATTTTTTTATGTGTATCTCTGTGTATATTTGCGCGAATGAAAATTTGCTCGCTTAAAGTTTTGTTTTATACCCTTTTAGTTAATGTCCCCATACACGAACGAGGGAGTGCATTGCCGTTGTGACATTGTAATGTCACTGACATCATACATGCTTCGCTCTTCATTCCGGACATAACACATAGTTATATATAGAATAATAATAATAATCATCATCATCGTAATCGGTGTGTGGCGTTTTGAAATTGCATATTTGCGAGAATGTGATTTTCCCAACAGTAATGTTAACCGTGAGTTTGACGACTCGATTTTAAATGGTGATTCTGTATGTGCTAATGCTTCAGGCAAAGCAATACTTATTTCCTGTTGTGAAGAATGGTCCTTCACATACTTAAAATTTTCCATCCATTTCATACGGTGGTGATGAATATGGTGCCCATATATATCTATAACTTTGAATTCGAATCAACACAAAAATTAACTTCCTTGAAATATCTCATTTACTCTACCTCGCCCATCCAATTTTCCTCTTAGCCAACTGACTTGATTCTATCACTGCGAATCAATTGCACGCTAATGGTAAATGTAATTCATTAAAGCATGTGTGTGTGCGTGCCAATGTGTAAATGTACACTTCTCATATGTTACGCAAACGTTCAAATGATACTGATTTAAAGTGAAAAAGCATACATTGTCGTCAGGTTGCTTGGTTGCATTCAGTAAAATGTCATTAGTTTCGAATGTTTTGTAATTTTTGTCATTCATTCTTTATTACAACTTGACCTCTTCTTCGTTCATCCTCTGAACATCCCCTCCCCCCACCAAATTGAGATAATATTTCACGAAATGACATTTATTTACCGCACATTTATCCGCACTGCTCAATGTACTCTCACATAAAATATACTTTGTAATTGTATTGAAAATTGGTACATAGCTACCATTACCGTCGCCGCCGCCACTACCATCATCATCATCATCATCATCATTTTTTAATGGTATTCTATCATTTCGCCTCGTAATAATATGTATTTTATTATTTATTTGTTTATTTGTGTTGCGGCTTCACTTAATCCAACTGCTGAGTTATTCTTTTGCAAACAAATTGAATGAGC